GGGGCGGGAAACCCCCGGACACGGCAGTGGCACCAGGTGGGCCCGGGCCACCAGGTGTCGCTCAGTCTCCATCCTGGTGTGGTCAAGGCTGAGTGAGACCCAGGTCTCAGGCGCTGCCCGGGAGGGTGGATGGAGCATAGGGGGTGTGTGGGCTTGGGACCCCTCGACAGGACCAGGAGGGCTGTGCCCCTTCTCCGAGCAGCTCCTGGTGGGGTGGCCTCTGGGCAGAGTGAGCCCTGTGGTCTGGGAGGGAGTGGCCTCTGGGGCTCTCCGTTCCTGGGCCCCTTCCTGCTGGGGGTGGAGGCTGATGGCCCCTCCCAGGCGAGGCCCAACTTGGGACATGGAGGAGGGTGAGCGTGCTGCAGCGGGGACCCTGGAGGAGCAGGTGGTGGGAGGGGCGGGCGGCTCCAGGGGCCTTAGTGCCAGGCCAGGGGCAGCCCCCATACTCAACAATTTGGGGGAGCTTGAGGCAGATGCAGGCTCCTCCTGCAGGGTCACACGCCTGTACACACACACACACACACACACACACACACGCACACACACGCACCTAGAGAAACGAGACACGGGCTATGTGGGCGCCAAGCTGGGGTGGGGTGCGTGGGCGCAGAGACAACACTAACCCCCCTGGAGTCAGGCTGGGTGCTTTCTAACAGCCACTTGGTCTCAAGGGAAGGCGGGCACTGCCCTCTGCCTGACAGGAGGAGACTGAGCGGCCTGGACTCCCACAGCTCAGAGGGCACTGGGGCAGGACCAGACCTGGGCCCGCTGGGCCTCCAGAGGGGAGGGGCCTGCTTGCTCTGGTCCAGGCACAGGCCTGAGCTCGGCTGCTGGTGCGGGGCCCAGCCCGGGGCTCCAGGTCGGAGCCATCACTGGCATGGACAGCCAGGGGGCAGCCAGCGGACCGCAGGCTACTCAGCCTGCAGCGTCGGGGCAAAGTGAGCACCAGAACCCTGTTCTCAGAAGACGTTCCCGGTGTGACAGGCGGGCACGTCCCACAGGAGCCCCGCCCCGCCCAGGGCCACGCCAGGGGGCCGCTCCCGACGCCTGAGACAGGGCGATGGAGAAACGGAGTCCTTCGTCAGGTTTATTGTCCTCTAATGACAGGTTAGCATCTCAGGTTTGCATTCTATCCTCGTACAAACGTCAGTTATTAGCATCAGGAACACAAAGACATCGCAAGACCTCCAAACACAAATAAATACTAAATAAAACCACAGCAAGATACAGTGAACAAAACGGAAAACATGATAATGCTATGGAAAAACCAGGCATGGTACGGACTCGTGGTGTTGCCGAGCGATCACTCACACGGCCTTGTTTCTCAGAAGAGCTGGAACCCGGACGGAACCACTGGTCGCCACTCACTGCGGCCGGATGCCTCGCAGCGAGCGCCCGGACGGACGGCGTTGGGACAGGCGGGCGGACGTCGGTGAGAGGTGCCTTCTTTGGTCTGTGTCCCGCGGGAACTGGAGAGCCGGGAGGAAGACGTGACCAGAGCCTCCGGCCCTGCGCTGGCTCCCCGCTTCCTCGGTCAGAGGCTCCCGCCCGGCGGGCCGCGGTGCCCGCCGTCCGCGCTGGCTGTTTAAGGGACCGAGTTCTGAGTGTCCGCGGCGGCGGCAGGGGCAGCAGACGGGCGCCCACCTCGGCGCTGGGCGAGGGCACAGGACATGGACATGCGGCAGCGGAGAATGAAGCGCAAGCACAGCTTGGCGCCCCAGGCAGCGATGATGCTCCCACGACGCCTCTGGGCCCCGCCTCCCCCATCGGGCCGGCTCGCTGGGGACCAGCAGCGCTGCCCGGACACAGGAGTGACCGGCCAGCTGCCCACACTAGCCTCCTCTGGCCTGGGCCTCCCCCTTTACAGAAACCACAACTACCAGGCCGGCCGGCGGGAGACAGAGCCGTGGTCATGACTGAGGAGCTTTCGGGGGCAGACCCGCCCCGGCACCAGCGCTCACACATGCAGACGGGCGCCTGGAGCCCCAGGGGGTCAGGTCCAGCCCCAGCAGAGGGCGCTTTGGGGTGAGGCTGGAGTGCCCGCCCCGGGGAGAGGGGGGGAGCCGGGCAGGGCTGTGCCGGCCTCAGGACAGCGAGGCCTCACCCTGTGCTGCAGGACGGGCTGTGGGCCTGACCCCGGGGTGCAAGGGGGTCCTGCCAATCTCCCCACATCCGGACCCAGGGGCGACCCGCCTGGGGACCCGCTGTTTAGGGGTCTGTCCAGACCCCCTTTCTTCTGCTGACGATGCCCCTCGGCACAGGCTGCTGGGCCGGCCGTGGGGACCCGACACCGCCCAGAAAGAGCGGCACTGCTGCTGGGGCCTGGGGTCAGGGAAGCCTGGGGCCTCCGCTCTGATGGGAACTCGGGGCAGGAAGGGGTGCGGGGGGTCACCAGGCAGGAGGCGCTGCGGGCCCAAAGCTCCCGCTGTTGCCACGTGGGGGCGTGGAGGGGGGCCCGGGGGCCGGGCAGCAGCCGTCAGGGTGCCCGATGCCCTCAGGTCTCGGTGGTGCGTGCGCACCGAGCTGCGCCCGTCAGCGCCCCTCTCCCGGACTGTCAGAGCTCTCCCCAGGCTCTGCCGGCAGCGCGGCCCCCGGCACGGAGGGAGGCTCAGAAAAGGCCCGGCGAGGGGCTGCGCCGGCCGACCCGCAGGGACGCCGGGCCGATGCAGCCTGCCCGCGGCGAGGAGCAGGGAAGCCGAGTGGGGGTCTGCGCTTCCAGTGAAGGGAGCACACCCCTCACCGCAGCCCGGAACCCTCCTTGTTGCCGGGACAGTGGGGGCCACGAGGGGCTGGCAGCTGGCGGCTGCCCCATCAGCATACGCAGGGGAGATGGGCACACAGCAGGGGCCACCCCCGACCCCCAGTGCCATGGAGAGGCTCTCGCCATGCCAGCCTCTTCCCAGCCACGTCCTCGGGGCCCTCGGAGGTGGGGGCCGTGCTCCCCCAGGGGCCCCCCCGGGCGGTGCTTCCCAGCAGCCCATCCATGCCAACAGCTCTCCACGGGGAGGAGGGAAAGGACATCCTTGGGTTTCTTTTTGGCCGGACCGAAGGTGCTTATTCTAAACTGGTTGGTGAGGTGGAAGTCCCAGGAGTCCTGCAGGGAACCCCTGACCGGGAGCCGCCGGAGGCCAGGCAGGAAGTCCCTCCTCTCGGGGACGCGGCCTCGCCCCCAGCGCCTGGGCGTGGAGGAGGGAGACGAGACGGAGCGTTTAACTGGGGCCTGGCAGGTGCTCGGAACCCAAGAGGTCCCGTTCGGACGCCCGGACCCGGTGTGCGAGGGAGGGGCTTCCAGCGGGCACCGGGAAGGCACACCCAGGCAGCAGCAGCACCAGAGACACACGGCCCAGCCCGGCCCAGCTGCCCGCGCAGCGTGGGCCGGGCGGCAGGCAGTCGGAGCGCGGCTGGCGGGTCGAGGGGCGGCTTTCGGGGAAGCGGCACGCAGGCGGTGGGTCGCGCTGGTGGGGCCTGGGAAGCACCCGTCACGTGTAGCACCCGTCAGTTAGCACCCGTGGAGCGTGCTGCATAGCGGAGGGAGGCAGGGCTCGGCTGCTCATCACAGTTGGACCATTGAGAGAAGGTAAACAGTGAGTTGAGAAAATGCCGTTGGGGCGGGCGCAGGCCAGGCCCAGGGCCCCCAGGCCACCTCCTGCGGGCAGTGGTCCCGGAGGCCAGGGGTCGGCCTGGCAGGCCCCAGAACGGCGGTCTCTGGAATGCTCGAGGGCTCACCTTTGGGCCGGGAGACTTGGGGTCTGTAACAATCAGGGGTAACTGAGCGGGAGGGGGGCCCAGAGCCGAGGTGGGGCCGGCCCCCCAGCAGGTGAGGAGCTGCCTGGGCCGGCGAGAGAGCTAGTGCCGCGAGCCTGGTCGCACGGTCACTCCCTAGAATCAGAGCACACAGAGCCTGGGTCGGGAAGCAGCGCGCACGGTAAGGCACAGGTCCAGTGCGCCACCACCTCTACGCAAAGGTGTCACTTCGGAGGCCGGGACAGAACGCAGCGGTATGACAGAATGGAGGGACTGCGTGGCCGCCTTCAGCACGCCACCCGCTCACCCGGTGCTGGACGCCAGGGCTGGCGCTGTCGGCGATCGAGACCTTGGAACGCGTGGGCACAATTTAAAGCCTGCAGGACTTTGTTCAGAACTCCGAAGTTCAACTAATGCCCTATTTTAGGGTGAAAACAATTATAAATCTGAAATGATGCACAGCATCCATGAGCAATTTCCTTTCGTAATAATTTGAAGTAGTGTCATCGACTACGACAGATATTGAAGGTTTACATTTCTAACGAGAAATAACACAGATTGAATATTCTCTTCCTATCACAAGTGATAACCAGTGTTGGATAGTTTACATTTTCTTCCAAGAAATATAAGTCTATCAACGTTTTAAAATAAAATGTCTGCAGTAACCATTATCTTAGAACTTTAAATTAAAAAATGATTCTGAATTTAGAGACTTCCAGAAAAGACCGAGGTGACTTCAGGGTCTTCTGACAAACAAATTAGTAAAACAGAGACCAGATGAGGCCTGAAAAATAGACAATATGCTGTATTTGAAACAAGATTGCACTCTTGAGGTTTAGAACGAATATATCAGAACTGCATTATTATTTCATAAACTCTTCTTTTACTTAACATGCTGACATGTCCAGCTAGCCCCAGGCGTGTATGCATGTGGTGGGTGTGTCTGTGTGTGTTCAAGTTTCAGGAAGAAAACGTGGTTTTCTTTTCTTAGCCTATATGTTTTCCGCCTTGATGAATGAGACCTTTGAAAATGGAAATGGAACCTTCTCCGACCGCAGTGCTGCTCGCCGCAGGACAGGAATTCTCCGGAGAAGAGGTCTAGTCTATAGAAAGCGTCCCGCTGGCTCCTCCGCCGGCCGCAGCCGCTCCTGCGCTTCCTGCTCCACCAGGTCCTGACCGAGCCTCCGCCAGGGCCCCGGTGGAGACAGTGGTTCCAACCCCGAGGAGATGCCTTCTGCTCACTCCGCCCGCGGCCGTCAGGGGTCAGGCAGGTCCGAGGTATCCACTATGACTTTGATAAAGATGGTGTCGTCTTTGATGTACGTCCCGTTCTCCAGCACAGTCTGCGCCACGAACACCGGGCAGCCCGAGGCGATGTTCATCTCCCCGGTGGGCTTCTTGAAGCTGCTGCTGTTGGGGTCCGGCTTGAACGCGTCCCCCAGGTGGCGCCGCGAGGAGCCCTGGTCCATGAGCATGAGCGTCACCTTCTGCTTGAAGGGCCAGGGCAGCAGCGCGTCGTACTCGCCGCGCATGATGACGAAGAAGAGCGACAGGTGCGTGCCCTTGCCCATGCCGTCCCCGTTCAGGTAGACCCGGGCGCACATCTTGTAGCCGAAGTAGCCGGTGTAGAAGGGCTGGCTGTACAGGGACAGCGTCTTGCCCATGACGGCCTCCTGCTTCCGCCGCTTGTAGTCGCGGATCTTCCAGATGAGCACGCCGTTGTAGCTGGCCGTCTCCAGCACCTGGAAGCGCAGGTCCATGTCGGCCAGGCGGATGTCGTGGACGCTCAGCATCTGGTCGTGCCGGCTCAGCTGGGACTCCAGCAGGCCTGGCGGCGGACAGGGCAGGGTGACAGAGGGTGAGGCTGTCAGCGTCAGGGAGGGAGAGGCCGGCCCTCCAGTGTCTGCCCTGAACACTGAGGACCAACGCCACACAGCAGTCCCGACCCAGGCTCGGACCCCGCACCCGTGGGCACCAGCCTGGGTCCCGGGGGCCCTCTGCAGCATCCATGACGGGGAGCTGCTGGGAGGCTCAGGGGCGTCTCTCCCACCGCATGGCCTCGGGCAGCTTAGTCCAACCTCACGCTCCTCTCTCCACCGGTCATTTCCCGCCAACACTCCGAACGCCCCTCCAGCCCCCAGAGCTCTGACACGTGGGCCTCGCCCACCCTCGCCTGCCGTCACCTCCTGCTCCAGGGGTGTCATGAGCACCTGCCTGGCAGGCCTTGCCCGCCTCCGGGCACCTGCCCGCTGGCTCGCACAGAGGGGACAAGTCTGCGGGACCCATTTCTTTCAGCCAAGGGCACCTCAGCAGGCCTGGCACACGCTGCACCGTAACGGGGGCGTCCGGGCCCACGTGACGAGGGGACCGCCTACCCCTCGCGTGGGAGCCACTAGGCTTACCCGGCGGCAGGAGTCTGCGAAGTGTGCCCGCCCCGCCCGCCGCGCTCACCTGTGTTGCGGGCCGCCTGCCCCGAGCTTTTGTCCACGCTCTCCAGCTCGGTCACCCGGTTCTGCAGGGACTCCACGCTGCTCTTCATGCTGTCTGCTTCCTCCCAGTTCTGCCGGAAGGGGCGGATCTCCTTGTCCAGCTCTTTCAGTTTCTCTGCTTGGCTGTCGATTACTCGCTTCCAAACCAAAAGCATCAAGAGGCAAACACAGTTAGCACTCTCCGGGAACGCTCTGGAGCCATCAGCGGGGCCGACGTGGCCTCCCCCCGGCTGCCTGGGCCCAGGGCTGGGGTAATGGAGGCGGGTGTGTGTGTGTGTGTGTGTGTGTGTGTGTGCGCGTGTGTGTGCGCGCGCGCGTGCGCGCTCTCTGCTCAACGCCCATGCCCTCCAGGGCACAGACACCACACTGCTGGTCCGCACACACTATCGACAGCGAGGCCTGACTTTATGCTATTTTAACTTAAAAATTATTTTTATTGATTTCAGAGAAGGGAGAAAGAGAGAGAAACATCAATGATGAGAGAGAGTCATTGATCGGCTGCCTCCTGCACCCCCCCACTGGGGATCAAGCCCACAACCTGGGCCTGTGCCCTGAGTGAGAACTGCACCGTGACCTCGTGGTCCATAGGTCAATGCTCACCCACTGAGCCCTGTGGGCTGGGCTCTGCTACTTCAGATATTTTAACTTAGAGAATCCAGAAGCCCTTTCCTCCAGAAGCACACAGACATTCACATCCCTGCAGGGACCGAAGAGCGAGACCCGCCGCCAGCTAAAGGACTGGCCTGCCACTGCCGGGCAGCCGGGGTCTAGAGTTTTCACTGCTAAAAAGAATTTGCATTCTGACATACAGCTCCTGGAGGCTGGGCAATGTGCCCCATTAAACTGGGCGGGGGGGCAGGGGCCAAGTTCACTTCCCCTTTTGAGAGCCTATTTTTAAACACTAAGTTTCAGCACCTTTGGGGCTGGTACTAACCCCGAAGGAACAAACATGGCTTACTTCTTTGGGGTAAAAGCAGTGCCGTTCTCCCTCTTCCTTCCAGGAAAGCTGGGAGGGGCTGTGTTAAAAGGAAAGATGGCTCCGCCAGAGGAGACCTCTCCTGTATTTCACTCTAAGGCGGTGTCTGGGGCGCGTTTCGGGCACAGCCCCCCTCACACTACGAGCATCACACCCTGTGCCTGCACCGCTCGCGCTCTCCCTGCCGAGGTGATGGCTGCTCCCAGGGGCTGCCCAGCTGCCCTGATGGCGAGGAGCAGGCGCGGCCCGGACACGCCCACATGCGTGTCTCCTAGAGCCTCCTGCACCCCCCCCCCCCCGAGGTGCATGGGACAGCAGCCTTGGGCACGTGGCACAGGACAGACGGTGGTGTCTGACACTGAGCTCCCGGTCGGACAGCCAGGCCCCGGCTCCGGAACACGGGCCCGGGCACAGCACATGGGCACACAGCGAGCGCAGCCCAGTTCTGCATGAGTGCCACACGGCACAGCGGGCAATGCCCTCTTACCTGGCCGCTGCCTGTAGCACAGCACCCTGAAGCCAGCAGGTGGCTCCTTCCGGGGGCAGCCCGCCCGCTGCTGCGTGTTTCCCTGAGAATAACCCTCAGGGGCGGCCGGGGGCAGATAAACGTGCCGCACACGCGGGGTAACGGAGTGAGGGGCTGCTGCAGCGCACCCGCTCCGTTCTCTGCACCGGCTCCCCGGAGCCAGGGACGGCCTTTCTGTCACCTGCCCACGCCTGTCCCAGCCCCGCCACTGCCAGAGCCATGGTCCTCCCAGGCCTCAAAGCACACCCAGGCTGCTTCCTAATGAAGGAAAAGGCCCTTTAAAAAGCCCCGACGGCCTGACTGCTCAGACGCCCGCTGCCTTCGGGCTCAGGGCCCCTGGGGGGCAGAGCAGGAAGGGGACTGGGCCCGATGCAGGGGCTGTGGGGCAGTGGAAGGGTGGGGCCGGCAGGCTTCCTGGAGGAGGTGGCACTGACACCTGGCCACCGAGGTGTCTGACAGCAGCCGGTCAGGAAACGTGGGTGGGCAGCGACCCATGTCTGTGCTGGGGACACGTGGCCGGTCATTGAGCATCTCTGGCCACAGCACGGCGGGTAAGACACTTCTTGGGTGGCTGGGGGGGTCTGGCTGAGGAAGGAAGTAGCGGCAGGTGCGTGCTGTGCCGGGCTCGGCTCGAGGGGCCTGCAGGACGGAGGAAGCGCCCGCTGACAGCAGTCTGGCGCGCCCCGGGGCTCAGAAGACCCGCGTCTGCTGAGCCGGGCAGGATTCCTCTCCCTCCGCGCACCCTCCCCGCGGGGCGAGACCAGCTGCACCCCCTCCGCTGGGTTCCCGTGGACCGCCGGGAGCGAGACCAGCCGCTGGAGCCCCGTGCGAACACAGCCTGTCCCCGTCCTCCGGAGGACACCACTGAGCCGCCCTCCCCTCCTGGTGACTGCGCGGCTGCCACTGTGCGCTCCACCTCGCCGCCGCCGCCGCCGCCGCCGCCGCCGCCGGTCCGCCTGCCTTGGAGCGCGGGGGCTTGTGACCACCGCAGTTTTAAAATGTGGCTCCCAGTGGGACGACTAAGCTCTGCAGCAAAGGACGTTAAGTTCCAGCTTTTCTCTCCGGAAGAGGAGGAAGCGAATGCAGAGAACCTGAGGTTTCTAACGAGGGCGACCATGGCCTCATCGTCAGATCCCCATGTCTTGGTTACCCATGAGCCGCTCCTGGCACCCTTCCTACGCTGCCGGCATGTTAATGAGTGGTAACTCCTCAGCCTTTCCATGCGCTCCTGAGCCCAGGCCCAATAGAGCAGTTCACCACAATGGCTCGTCCTGAGCCCCAGGCAGGTGAGGTCCCTGGCCAGGTGGGTCAATGGTTAGAGCACTGGTCTGCGCACAGGAGGATCTCCAGTTCGATGCCCACGTTAGGGGCAGGTACCTAGCTTGCAGGTTGGATCCCCAGGTCAGGGCAAATGCGGGAGACAACCAATCAACGTGTTTCTCTCGCGTCGATGTTTCTCTCTCTTCCCACACCCCCCCACTGCACTCTCTCTGAAAATATCCTGGGGTGAAGATGAAAAAACGACACCAGGGGCTTTCCGCAGGGGCTGTGGTGCTTTACGTGACGCAGTACTTTCTGGCTCTTCAGCTCTAGTCACCTGCACCTTCCCTAACACAGGCCAGCACGTGGGCGCGTCTCCCCTCCCCCGGACAAGCACAGCGCAGGCGGACAGCTGGCGCCGCAGGCCCTGTGCGGCGCTGAGGCGGCGAGAGGCACTGCCCGAGCCCGTGGGAGCCCGCGCCCCCCGGGCGAGGCCGGGAGACGGCGCCGGGCACAGAGCGCCCAGCAGGGCAGGCACCGCAGACACAGCTACAGCACGACCTGCTGGCGGGCCTGGGAGGCTGAGCAGCAGGCGAGGATCATCACTGACCAGGCCCAGCGCACGGTGCCTTCTCCCGGCGGCCTGGGCCCACGGGAGCGGAGGGAGGGAGCCGTGCCCCACGGGGAAACTCACTTCACTTCACACGTCACCACGATGGACAGGAAAGCCTCAACAGTAAAATCTAACTGTCACGGGCTCGAGTCTTGCCGCAACCATAGCAGCCAAAGGCACAGAGAGGGATGGTGTTTGCTCTCGGGAGAGCAGGAGCCTGCCGGCCGCGGGTGGGGAGCAAGGGGAGGTGCCTCCCCGGGCTCTCCTGAGACCTGTCCTGGGGCCCGGCCCCCTGCCCTCCGCCTCCCGCCCCCCTGCCCCCCGCCCCCCTGCCCTTCACCCCCTGTCCCCCTGCCCCCCCCCGCCCCCCGCCCTCCGCCCTCGCCCAGCCAGGTGAGCCTCTTACCTGTAAGTGCAGTATTTTGGATTCATTATTTCGCAGCATTTCCTTTTGTCTCTCGATTTCAATTTCAAAGCTGCATATCTGGTTGTGTAAGCTCTGTATGCTCTTGTTCTTCTCCACACTTTCATTCTGCAGCAAGGACACCTGGAAGGGAGGCCCCGTAAGCGAACCAGTGCGACTCACAGGAACAGTCCGCTCCCACAGCACCGGCCCAGGCCCTCTCCCTCCCCCAGGATGTGCGCGGCCGTGCGGCCCCCGTCAGAACGAACGGGGTGCTCTGAAGGTTTTGCTGAGAATTAATAATAAACCTCTTACAGAGAGGCTTTCACACTCCGGCCGGAAACAATTCCTACATGCACCCGCTCGTCATGTGTGTGAGCGCACACGTAAGAGCCGGCATCACAGGGCCCCTCCCCCACACCGCAGCCCGAGCTTCCCCATGTGCTTCACTGTCACACCCACAGGTGTGGAGGGACTGGCGAGCTCTCAGCGGCCTCACAGGAGCTTTCTGTGGTTGGACCGAGCGTGAGGAGCAGCCTCTGCGCCGGCCCCCTCCATTCCCGCCCAGAGGCTCCAGTGCCCCCCTCCATTCCCGCCCAGAGGCTCCCCAGTGCCCACCTCCATTCCCGCCCAGAGGCTCCCCAGTGCCCACCTCCATTCCCGCCCAGAGCGGCCAGAGGCTCCCCAGTGCCCCCCTCCATTCCCGCCCAGAGCGGCCAGAGGCTCCCCAGTGCCCCCCTCCATTCCCGCCCAGAGGCTCCCCAGTGCCCCCCTCCATTCCCGCCCAGAGCGGCCAGAGGCTCCCCAGTGCCCCCCTCCATTCCTGCCCAGAGGCTCCCTCCCCAGTGCCCCCCTCCATTCCCGCCCAGAGCGGCCAAAGGCTCCCCAGTGCCCCCCTCCATTCCCACCCAGAGGCTCCCTCCCCAGTGCCCCCCTCCATTCCTGCCCAGAGGCTCCCCAGTGCCCCCTCCATTCCCGCCCAGAGGCTCCCCAGTGCCCCCCTCCATTCCTGCCCAGAGGCTCCCCAGTGCCCCCCTCCATTCCCGCCCAGAGCGGCCAGAGGCTCCAGTGCCCGCCCGCCCGGGGCCCTGTAAGGAGGCCGGTCACCTCCACGTTGGCCGGCTCTGCTCTGGGCCGGGGTGGGGGGGGGGAGGGGAGGAGCAGGGGGCTGGCGGGCCTTTGGACGGGCAGACCCCGGAGCAGCACCAAGAGCCCGCTCCCGGCGCCTGCGGCCCGATCCAGTGCTCGCAGAGGGAGCCCTCCCGGCGGGAAGCCGCACCCATGGGCGGGCCTCAGGCGCCACAGGGCCAGCCTGAGCCGCTGGACAGCCACCTCCCAGGATAGGCCGACAGCCACGTAACTCCTGCCGCTGGCAAAGCCAGTTCTTCTAGTGGCGAGAGTGCCTGAGGTGAATGAGAATTAAAGACTAAAGCCCTGAGGTCTATGCCTATAATTTTTTTATTTCCTCACCTAAAGGTGTTTTCCACTGACTTTTAGAGAGTGGAAGAGACAAGGAAAGGCAGAGAGACATCGACATCCACTGGTGGTCTCCTGCACGCACCCTGACCAGAGCCAGGCAGGAGAGGCGCCTGCAACAGAGGTGTGTGCCCTTGACCGGAATCGCACCCGAGCTGACGCTAGCCACTGAACCAAACCGGCCAGGGCAAAACCATAATTTTTAAAAAGGCAGAAACAGTGTTCGCTTTGGCAGCACATATACTGAAAAGGCAGAAGCAGTAGTCTGCAAAGGAAGACTTCTAGGAAAACCACTGAAAACAGCACAGACACCACGGCTGACAGGACACCATGTGTGACTCGACGTTCACTGCGCGACCAACGGCCCTTCTCGCGTGCGTGTGCCTCTCCAGCCGAGCACCTCCGCTGAAGCACGCTGCATTCAGGTACGGGGACATTCAAGTCGCCCGGATCTAACTGAAACGGCTTTCGGGCCTCAGACAGGCTGCCGGCTGCTCGCCCACTCAGGGCCTTCGCTGTGCTCGCTGTGCGGGTGCGCTGGCGCCAGTTCTCACTTTGCAATAACCCGCAGCGAGTGGTCCCCGGACAACGCCATCTACTCTCAGAGTTCTCTCCTTCTCCTCGGAAAGAAGGCCCGCCAGGGGGCATGCCATGGACCAGCTCCCAGGAAGGGGCTGCTAACAGCCCAGCCCACACCCAGTCCCTTGAAGGGCAGCAGGGCAAGTCCCTTTGGGGAAGGGGCCTGCTCGTGCCCCAGCTCCCATAGTGCCACACACTTGCGGTGTGGGGGAGAGGTCCCGTGATGCCCGCTCTTACGTGTGCGCTCACACGCATGACGAGTGGGTACATGTAGGAATTGTTTCCGGCCAGAGTGTGAAAGCCTCTCTGTGACACGGAGATGCCTTCCCGGTCCGGGGCTGGCACCTGTTCTCTAGGAGCCAGAGGGCAGGATGGGAGCTGTGTGGCCCATGTCCCAGCTGCTCCACTTGGCTGCAGCCATAGCCAATGTGGGAATGAACGAGCCTGGCGCCCAATTTGACTTCACTTACAGGAGAGGAAGGTCTGCATGTGTGGTAGTCCCTGTTCAGAGCAATCTACACTAATAAAAAAGAAAGATGCAAATTGACCGTACCTTTGCAACACCCACCAGCCAATCAAGAGTGAATATGCAAATTAACACAACAAAGGTGGCAGGTTAATTTGCATACACGGCACTGAGCAACCAGGATTGGAGTAGGACACAGGCATTCTGTACCATCCAAGCCACTCCGGGCCTCTGGGCAGTATGGGAAGGCAGAAAGGTGGCCCCGGGCCAGAGCAAAGGCGGGGCCAGCAGCCAGGGGAAGGAAGCCTATTCTTGCATGAATCTTCATGCATCGGGCCTCTAGTGCTAAGATAAGCACACGTGATTTTAAAAAAGCACGGCACATGTGCTTGCAATAAAAAAAGAAAAAGAAAAATGCAAACAGCTTCATTTATAAAAGACTGAGGAGAGGTTACTTGGCTATCTCTGGGCGCTGTTTCACCCTCAAACAGCTAATCACTAACCAAGGTCTCTCCTACGAAGTGGTGGAAACCTCGGAGGAGCAGCAGCACGTAGTGTCCTACCTTCTTCTCCAGGGAGCTGCTCCACTCCTTCAGCAGATTCACGTGCTGCACCGCGGAGCTGGCCTCGTGTGCCTTGATCTGCTGGTTCGTCCCCTGCAGAACAAAGGGCGGGCGTTAGCCCTCGCCTCAGGAGCGCAGAGCCCGGAGACGGCCCGACGGGAGGCAGCCTGAGCGGGAAGGGGAGCCTGGCTCCTGGGCTGTGACTGATTCCGGGCGCGCGGGACGCGGCTCTGCAGTTGTACAGGGACCCAGGCTCACGGCTTCGCTCCTAAGCTGCTCTCACCAAGTGCCTTCTCGGCTGTTTCATACTTACAACGTCAAGAAATTGAATTTCAGACATCATTTCCTTCCTTTAGAAATTTTTTCATTAAAATATAAGTGGGTTTGGACAGCTTCGGTTATGGCTAGATACTGATACAGTAATCTAGTGAACATGTAATCAGACTAGGGTTCTGACTAATTCACCAAAACATTAACTCCTCATGACACTCACTGTACTGGGAAATGGACTGCTCACTGTTCTAAGGCTGCTTAGGAAGTTACATATAAACATAAAATAAACCATCTACAGAGTACATAAGATGCAGACCATCTCAGTAACAAGCTCAGCAAACAGAACTTCCATATTTAAGGAAATAATTGGCATGAAAATATAATTTGTTTTGATACTGGAAAATTAAGAAGCCACAGGAAGCATTTTAATGATCTCCAAAACATATACTCTGTACAGAGAATATTCCTATGTATATGTTGACATAAGTGTAGCTATATGTCAGCATATACATACACAGACACAGAATGAAAGGTACTACACATGACATCACAGGGGCGACTGGTGCAGAGGAACCTACAGTCCTCTTCATGCTCCAGGCTTCACTTCCTGCGGAAATACTAGTACACCAAGGGCAACTCAGCACTAACTTCGTAACGATGTGCGGCTCATACATAAAATTAAATAAAATACTTTAATAGTAATAGATATTGTCTTTCATAGTTTTACTATTAAGATACACATTTCAATAGAAACTCAGTTCAAATTCACTAGCAATCTCAGAGGTGTTAAAAAAAAAATAGCCAGGCCAGTGTGGCTCAGTGATTGAGCACCAACCTATGAACCAGGAGGTCATGTTCAATTCCATGACCGCGTTGCAGGCTTGATCCCCAGTGAGGGGCGTACAGGTGGCAGCTAATCAATGATTCTCTCACCATTGATATTTCTCTCTCCTTTGCCCTTCCTCTCTGAAATCAATTAAAAAATATATATTTATATTATATATATACACACACACTTAAAAAAATAAGTCAGAAACAGGTTTGTCATAGCACAGGTATGGCAATGACGGAGATGTCCTTTCCATGCTGCTGTCCCAGGACGTGTGACTTATATGCAAAATGCACTTATGGATACACGTGTGTGTGACCCATACCACAGTGCCCCGGTGCGCACACTGCTCACACCAGCTGGCCGCATACTTACTCATACGCGCTACTGCCAACCTCGCAGCCCGTCTGGCTGCAAACCCACCCCCCACCAGGCTGTGCGACCTTCTTGCTCGCTGGTTTCAGACGGGAGCATCCTGACTTCCTCTTGGCACAGGTGCCGATCTTAGCTCTCAAAACCCCACCGTCACCCAACAGGGCGATCCGGTTCCATGCAAAGACGCCAAGCCCACAAGTGGCACGTTACAGTTCATGTAATAACTGGCTCCCATGGCAGAATGTCAGCAACTGGGAAGGACAGATGTCGGATACTGACCTGAAAAACGCAGCCATAGCGCTTAAAACTACAGGTGCTGGGGGCATTGACACACTCTGACAAGTGGGCACTCAACTGCAACGGAAAGAGACGTGAGTTTGGCACGAACGTTCGCATGAAAATGCTCAAACAGGTTAGAGGCACAGGAGCACCCAGGCTGCACCGTCACGGATGGCGGTTACAGCCGCAGGTGCGTCCCGCCACGGCTCCCAGACTCCTCGGCAGTGAGCTCACGTATCGTCACGTGTGTACACAGATACACCAATATACGGAAATACGTTCACTGTAGCGTTGCTTAAACTCGAGTTTTCGTTAGGATTGTTGGAAACGTGACTGCCGTCTGCAGTGCCAGAGATAAGAGAGGAAGAAACGTGAACTGAGATGCACATTTAAAGACTGTAAACGAAAACTGCATGAAACACAAAAAAGGAAAGCACCCGGATGCAGCCGGGCACACGCCTCATGTACACACATGCATGCACTTCCCAAGGAGCCCGCACACCGCGGGCCGGAGTCTGAACTGTCACTGCTGACGGGGGAGGGCCTGGGAGAGGATGACCATGGAGCTGCAGGCCGGCAGCTCGTCTGCACAGACCGCCCCACCTGCGAGGCCCCTCGGCAGAGTGCGCTGGGCGCTGGCTGATGCCGTGGGAGGACAGTTCTGTGCTGGGAAATGTGTCCTCGCTGGGAAACGCCGGGAAAGACCTTTACGGGAACCAGCAGGCCAGGGCCACACCCCCAGCGCCTGTGGGGGTCACTCTGGCAGGGGCCATTGGTCTGCAGGACCAAGCAGGCCCCTCCCTGTAGGTCAGCACTTGGGGCAGAGAGGAAAGTGGCCACAGGACTGCTATGAGGGCCAGCACCGAGGGGGCGACCAGAGGGAGCTGACCAGCCATGGCAAACTTTGCAGGTCTCTGAGCGGGGCAACGCGGGACATGCGGGCAGCCCAGCACATCTGAGGCTCCTCTGACCCCAGCCGGGAGTCAGGCCTGCCCCCGAGGCAGAGCCTAGAAGGTCCACCACAGGCTGGCAGAGCGCGGCCTGGGCAACTTAAACTTGAGAGGGAGCTGCCGGCAGCCGCTGCTGCTGGGGTCAGGGGCAGTGAGTCTCACGGATGGTCAGGGCGCCGCCGAACATTCAGGCCACACTTCTTCCTAAACGGCCTTATTATGGTCCCTCTCAAAGCCTTACAGGACTGGAGGCACTTTGGAATGGAGGCGAGAACAATCTATACGCCAATAACACCTTTCACCGGAAACTCAAGATAAATGCCGGTTTACAGGTTTTTTTTGAAATAAAAATAACTCACAGGCAAAATGGAGGCTGCTTTCGTCCCTAATTCAGATAGCCCCGAGTGAGTAAAAATCCAGCGGAGTGTATAAAAGCCTGAAATTACTTCACAGCGCAGACTGGCCCGCTCACTCTAACAGCAGCGCTCCGCGGGGGGGATAGCGATGTGTGTGTGCCCGCTGCTCGGAGAGGCACGTTCCGGGCCAGGGACCCGCCACCCGCAGGCCTGCCTTCGCCCGCAGTCAGCTTGTGCAGGACGCACCCTGAGTGAGAGCGGCTCTTGGGGTCCTCCTGCACCCCTCGTCTCCCGCTCATGGGGACAGAGGGGAGGCTCCCACAGGGCCTCCAGCGGTAAATTCCAGCTGGCCCAAAGGCTGGGGGCTTCTCAGAGCAGAGCTCCCAGGACTAAGGGGACGCCTGTAGCGGCCCCAATGGCACCCACGGGCTCACGTCAGGACCGGATGCAGAGACGTGAAGAGCTCGGCGTGTTCCATGTGGAGACAGCCAGCCGGGAAAGGCGCCCCCCCAGGGCCCCGAACGCAGCCGCCAGCCGGTGCCCCGCTTCCCACGCCAGCCGCACGGCGCACAGTGAGCGCGGCCCGAGGGTCGGCAGCATCCTGAGATCAGCCTACAGTGCTTCCTGCTTCACTGCTTTAAAAACAGCTTCTTTACAAACAGTGTCTCCTGTGCTTGCACTGGTCAGTCCGTTCTCTCACTGTAACCACACTTGGCCCTGCACACTCTGCGGCCTTTACCCGCTTGCTTCTGACCCTGCCTCCCAAGAGCAGCGGAGCTTTCCTATTGTGATCGCAACCCCAGGTCTCCCGAGTGAGGGGAGGCGGCTACGGCTCCGTCCTCCCAGACCCCGGCCAGCCAGCCGCGCCCTTACCTCGCTCCTCAGGAGGGTCTGGACCCTGCACTTGTGCGGGCAGGACACCACCACGCAGGGACAGTCAGTGTCTTCGTGTTTCTGCAGGAGGAAAGCAAGGTGTCGTCAGCTTTGAAACATGGATCGCCCCAGCCCCACGCGGCCCCCGGAGGCACTGGCCGTCCGGAGAAGCCCTCACGCTGATGAGTGCTGGAAGGTGCGGGCCCCGCCCGAGCTACAGCCCTCGGAGCAGTGTGTGCTCTGGGCGGCGCCTGTGCCCGCAGCGGCGAGGGCGGCGAGGGCGGGCTGTCGGGGCCGGGTTTTGTCTGGCCTCTCAGTTTGGAGTCTGGAAATGATGCTTCTCAAATGCCTGAACAGCCAGACCCCCTGAGTCCCTCAGTCACTGCCCTGAAATCTCACTGAGATTGCCTTTAGTGTCTGGGAAAGACGGCAAATTCTGCTGGAGCCCTCTGGATGGCACCTCCTCTGGATGGCACGGGGCCTGAGTGACAGGGACTGATCAGCTCGATCCGCAGGCACCTGCGCAGGAGGGGCAAGAGCACCGGACAGGTGACAGCCCGCGAGAGGAGGGGAGGGGGATCCGTGCTCAGCACGGCGCCCGGGGGCCAGGCCGGGACACTCCCAGCTCCTCGTCCCAGCTTCCCTCCGGCCTCCCACAGGCTGCAGAGCTGTGAGGGGACCTGGCCAGGCGCTGGCTCTGACTGGACCGGTGTGGGGTGGAGGACAGGGTGGCCGTGTGGGTGAGTGAGCGAGCGGGGTTGCTCCCCTCCCGGGGCCTGGAGCCAGCCCCGCAGTGCGCTTTCCCGGGTGCTTTTAAGGCCTGTCTCTAGGGGCCTGCGGCACACGCTGCTCTGCTGCTGGGCCAGGTCCCGAGGTCCGGGGCCAGTCCACACTGCTCGGAGCTCACTGAAGGGCCCAGGACCGCAGGCCTTCCGAGGCACCGGCTGGGCTTCCCCAGCCTGCCCGTGTGCAGCCTCCTGCGTGCCCAGGGAAACCTGGACAGGTGCCCCTCCCCTGCAGAGGCGGGGTGGCGGGCGGTGTGAAGGAGGAGTCAGCCTGGGCCTCAGAGCTCACCAGGCAATGCTCCGCCTCCTCACCAACCTGCCCATCCCCTCCCCACGCACAGGCCAGCCTGGAGGAACGCTGGGGATGCAAACAGAGGGGGAGAGGGGCAGGAGGGACCCGAGGGAGAAGTGGGGTGGGAGCCTCTCCCTTAACATACTCCGACATGTCTGCATCATTAAAACAGCTGATCACCAGAGCGCAGTGAGATTCCCGAGTCTTTGCTGGCACAGCGCACGCCCCAAACTTGCTAAGTACCTTTCTGTGCCTCTCACCCGTTTGCCGCTGACAAATTTAAGACCCAGATCAAACCGAAACCGGTTTGGCTCAGTGGATAGAGTGTCAGCCTGGAGACTGAAAGGTCCCAGGTTCGATTCCGGTCAAGGGCACATCCCCAGTAGGGGGTGTGCAAGAGGCAGCTGATCGGTGATTCTCTCTCATCGATCTTTCCAACTCTCTCTCTCTTTCTCTCTGTAAAAAATCAATAAAATACATTAAAAAAAAAAAAAAAAAAAAAGACCCAGATCAAACCGAATGCTACCTGCGCACCCAGGCCCATGCGGCCCCCAGGCCACCGAGCCGGCCTCCTCGGAGGCTGTTCCCGCCGCAGGGCAGGGAGGGGCGGGAACAGACACAGCGTGTGCGCACACTGCGTGCGCCTGAGAGCCACTCGCTGGGTCCAACAGGCACTCCACGTCACTGAATCCTCACTGTTATTTTAACTCCAGGCCCTCACATCGTCTGCAGCTCAGAGTCAGTTGCGTGATAGTTAACTGACACACTCTACAAATCCTCATGCAAATGAAAATTAATTTCTGGATTCTATTCTGCAAATAGAGGTAACTGGTTCTTGCAAGAAGCACAGGGCGTGTCTGACAACAACATGCCCCCGAGGGCAGGACTGGAGCTGCTCACACGGGGCAGCCGCGAGCACCTGTGGGCCCGGAGGGTGGGCTCGGCCATGACCGAGACCAGGCTCCTCTCACAGGGCAGCCCAGCCCTCCCACCTCCTCCCGCCTGGGAGCGTCTACAGAATCAGGGAAAGGCTTCCCAACGGCAGAAAGCCACAGGCATGAGAAAGGTACACAACATCAGGCAAACATGGAGATTACAAAGATTTTGTACCAAAAACGAAGACTTTTCCCAGATTCTGGTCAGTGAGTGCCTCAGAACACCCACCAGAAGGCAGCTGCGCCCTGCACCCCAGCAGCCCCTCTCTGTGCCCTCATCTGATGACCCCAGTCATCGCCCTGCCTCACCTGGCAGTCAGCTCCCACCCCTCCTACCTGCTCTGCCCTCCCCGGGATCCCCCTCCAGACCCGACAGCAGCCTCTGTCTGCGGACCGCTCCCGTCTCAGAGGCCTGCAAGCACCGTGTGCCCCATCGGACGTGGGCTCTCCAGTCACACCTACCCATGGCTGCAAGGCCAGAGGCTCACACTCTGGAGCCTGGACCACCCACTTGGCCCCTCGCCCCCCGAGCCTGTAATGCCCGGTGGGCCTCACTTCGGCAGGCCCTCCGGCTCATCCGGACGCTCCAGCTATAAACGCGGGCGTCACCCGTGGTGCACACTCGATACAGAGCCATCAGCTCATCCCGTTGGTTCTACCTTCAAAACCACCCAGAACCCCTCCCCCTCCCTGCTCTACTAGTCCAGGCCAACATGGTGCCTCCCTGCCCCTGCCCCGTCCACTTGTCACCCCCGTTGGATGCACAGTGCAGGGAATGTAATGTCACCCCAGCTCCCGGCGGCCCCGACCCTCAGCACCTCGACCTCATTCAGTTCTGGGCGTGCGCTGGCCTCACAGCTCCCGAGTCCACTCAAAGCCGGTTCCAGCTCAGCTGGGCCCCCTCTGCCCCCTCTGCTCGCCGCTGTGTCTGAGGGCAGCGCAAGCCCCGGTGCCCTGAGGCAGCTCACCGCTCCCCACGGCCCCCCTCGGACCACCCACCACGTCTTCCCCCAGGGACCGTCAGGTCCCAGGACAACGCCTGCGCACAGCTGGTACTTAATCAATGTTCGTTCACCAAGCGGACCCATGCTGAGGGTGCCCAGTCTGCCTTCATCTGCAACACCCGCCCCTGAACCTGCAGACAGAAGGTCTGACTAACACGCGCACGGTGCTGGACTGGCCAAACACCCGAGGTCGGAGAAGACAGCCCGCACCTCTGCAAGACAGACAGCCGTGCTTCCCTCACGCAGGGGCCAGCCATCGGCGATCTTCTGGACGACTCGTCTTCGCTGGCAACCCACGTGACAGCCAGCCCCGGCGACGAACACGCGAATCACAGAAATGAAAACGAGTAAAACAAACGGAGCTTAACTCTGAAATGAAGCCAGAGGGAGACTGCTATTTGCGCCCGTCTTTTCTCTTTGTTCCTGTTAGAATGGTCACTTAAACGCTGTCCTGCGGGCAGACGCGGTGGGTGAAAGCGAATACTGCACCTGCAGGGTGATCATCGGGACTTGGCTCCTGCAGTGGCTGCACGTGGCCTCGCGGTACTTGCACGTCTTCTCCACGTGGTCGCGCAGGTCTTTCCTCAGGACCCTCTCCTTGCAGTCGGCACGCTCGCACGGGAGTTCTTCAAACTGGCAGTCATTCCTCAGATGCACCTGGAGACCAACAGCCCCAGTGCTCAGCCAGCAGCAAAGGCCCGGACAGCCCAGTTCAGCCCCCCAGGCAGCTCCCTCAGACAGTGCCATCTGCCGCCCAGATGGCATTCTCCGGAGGGCAGAGCCACAGGGCCAGAGGCGCGAGGCCCACGCCCACTCTGGCTCCTCGGACAATACCGCTTTGAAGAATTAACTCCTCTTCCTGGATAAATACACGGTTATCTGCTAAGGACTTTGCTTTATTCTAATTCAAATATCCTTTCGGGATAAAATGATACTAATAAACACAAGAAGTTATGTGGAATTTCACAGTAAAAAAAAGAGGTTTTTACCGGATCTTCCCAAATTAAAATTCGATACAGATTTCTTTCTGTTCTAAATGGGGTGGCGAGTTTATACCCAGTGGAGGATCCTGCTAATGGTGTCAGCAAAGGGACACGCCGTGCCCACGTGGCGTGCCTGCCCTCACGTGAGGCTGGCCTCAGAAGGCGATGCCTAGGTGTGCACACTGACCAGGACGCCGTCCCACAGGCCCCAGGGCGCTGGGTACTGACCAGCAGCTGTCCCAGGGCGAGCTGCTCGGCACAGCCGCGGCCGTCGTTCCGGCAGTGGACCTGCAGCGCCAGGATCTCCCGCTTGCAGCAGTTGTCCTTGAACACCTGTGAGGACGGGAGAGGAGGGTCAGGGGCCTCAGCGCCGCACGCTGCGGCTTGGGACAGCGCAGACCACTGGGTAACGTCAGGGAAGCCCCCGTACGGGGCCGCGGAGCAGGAAGGACCGCCCTCCCTTCCAGTCTACAAGCAGAGGGAGAAGCTGCCCCCACCAAGACACAGTTTATTCATTTTATTTTTTTAAACGTATTTTTATGTTTTCAGAGAGGAAGGAAGAGGGAGAGAGAGAGAGAAACAGTAGTAATGAGAGAGAATCATGGATCGGCTGCCTCCTGCACGCCTCACACTGGGGATCGAGCCCACAACAGGGGCCTGTGCCCTGACCGGGAATTGAACCGTGACCTCCTGGTTCATAGGTCAACACTCAATCACTGGGCCACGCCGGCCGGGCAGACACAGTTAAATAGCACAACCTTAACTACTGTCCTTTGCTAGAGAAGCCAAAGGGAACCGAGTCACACTGAACAGAGGACGCTGGGCTCCCTCTGACACAGTCTCAGGCGGGCCCAGCAGGACCGAGTTCCCGCTGGGCTCTGGCACTCCCAGAGCCGGCACCTGAAGGCCACCGAGCTCACCTCCGGTCACGGCTCCAGGGCAGAAGCCGGGAGAACTCAATGTCTTGGTGGGTCGCTCACTACAGAAACTACAGTGAAAGGGGTTTGTAAACCATTCATTTTGGTTCCTTCTCCAAAGATTAAGTGGACTCATTTAGCAAAAAGGAGGCATTCGCCTGCTATTAAAAAATCCTTTTAAATATATATTGCACAGTTGATTCAGTAATGAAAATGTCTCCCTTTCCAAAGGACACCTCCTTTCTCTAATTCTGTTTCCTCTTTAGAAAAGAGGTGTCACTCCTGACAACAGGGCTACAGTCTTACCCTTGGGCACTTAATCCTCAGAAACACCCACAGGCTAACGCAGACAGGGTGCCTTCCTCAACCCCAGAGCAGAGAGACAGAATTGACAGCGCTTAAGAGTTAAAAATAAACTAATTTGGAGTCAGATATAATTCTTTATAAACAGGACTTTTTAATTTTTAAAAAAAATATATTTTATTGATTTTTTACAGAGAGGAAAGGAGAGAGAGATAGAGAGCTAGAAACGTCGATGTGAGAGAAACATTGACCAGCTGCCTCTTGCACACCCCCCCCACCGGGGATGTGCCCGCGACCAATGTACATGCCCTTGAACGGAATCCAACCTGGGACCTTTCAGCCCACAGGCCGACGCTCTACCACTGAGCCAAACTGGCTTCGGCTACAAACAGGACTTTTTTAAAAAGATCATAATTTAAGATTCGAAAGTCAAGCAGGTATTTTTAACTGGTAAGAAGCAAGCTTCCTTTCTGTGTCGAAGTTGCTGGAAGCGTTTGAGGTTCCCGTTACAGACTGGAGACATAAGAAGGGAGAAGGAGAGCTTTAGAGCTAACGCACTCAGCCTGCCGCTGCACTGTGCACTCGGGCCGAGGGCCCGGGGCTGCATGCCCTCCGCCAGCGCCTGGCCTTGGTCCCCAGGGCCTTCCCCATGAAGACCCATGCCTGACTCATCTCATTTATGCTTCTTCAACAAAACTAACCTTTTCCCTCCAGCTACCACGCCACTGAAAAACAGGAACTGCCCTGGCTGGGTACTCAATGGTTAGAGCATCGGCCCACAGACTACAGGATCTCGGGTTCGATTCCAGGGCAAGGGCATGTACCCGGGTTGCAGGTTCCATCCCCAGTCCAATCATGGCACGTGCAGGAGGCAAATACTGATGTGTCTCACATCAGTATTTCTCTCTCCCCCCCTCCCTCAGCGGAAAAGAAATCCTCAGTAGCGATTGGAAGGAAAAGGAATAATACTGAATAATGAAACGAGACACGAAGAGACCCTCTCAGTCCGTAGCTTCGACTTCCTCCAGCTGCGTCGGTTAGAGGCGTGTGAACAAGGTTAGCGATCATGTTATGATGAGGAGTAGAACCAGGTGATTTGTTTTTCTTGGGAATGATCCCTCCCTGTTACCAACCAAAGTCCTTAGAAACAGGTAAACGCTTAGGAAGAAAAGGCAGAATCAAGATGGTGGTGTAGGTGAACACCAGACTTCCCACAACCACACAAAAATTACAACTAAAGTACAGAACTGCCATCATCCAGAACTGCCTGAAAGCTGGCTGAACGAAGTCCTCCAACGAGAGAAGTAAAGAAGAAATAACTAAAACGCCAAGGGTTAAAGACAGAGAGAGAATCTTAAAAGCAGGAAGAGAAAAGCAGTTAGTTACCTACAAAGGAGAACCATACGACTGTCAGCTGATTTCTCAACAGAAACTTTGCAGGCCAGAAGGGAGTGGCAAGAAATATTCTAAGTGATGAGTGGCAAGGACCTACAGCCAATATTACTCTACCCAGCAAAACTATCATTCAGAATTAAAAGGCAGATAAAGAGCTTCACAGACAAAAAAAAAAGCTAAGAGTTCATCACTACCAAGTCAGTATCATATGAAATGCTGAAGGGTATTCTTTAAGAAGAAGAAGAAGAAGAAGAAGAAGAAGAAGAAGAGGAGGAGGAGGAGGAGGAGGAGGAGGAGGAGGAGGAGGAGGAAGAAGGAGAAAAGATGAAAAATATGAACAATAAAATGGCAATACATACACATCTATCAATAATTATATCTAAAAATCAAAATAAACAAACAAGGAAACTAATGAACAAAATAAACTGGTGAATAAAATAGAACCAGAGGCATGGAAACATGGAACAGACTGAGGAATCTCAGGGGGGGGGGGGGGACACTAACCAAAGATCTTATATGCATTACCTGTGGACACAGACTACAGGGTGGTGAAGGGGTGGAGCGGGAACCAGAGAGAGGGGCATTGTGGGGAGGGGACATCTGCAATACTCCCAGCAATGAAGATAAAAAAGGAAGAAAAGGTAGAGGGACACGTGGCTAATTCCATCTCTAAATGTGCCCTGGGGTTCCCAGCCCCCTGCGCGCCCACAGACCCCGCGCCCTGGCTGCGCACAGAGGCCGGCCTGCCGCTGCAGCCAGGAGCCCCGGGGCCAGCACTTCACTGCAGTGCGATGGCCTGCATTTAAGAGACTGTTAGGCTCATTAATCAAAACACGGGAGCCAGGTTTTATGGACATTTTAAGTGCTTCAATGAGCCATTTCCAACGACAAGTGCGCCCGGAGTGTGACCACACGGGAGGGGCACAGGCGCCATGTGGGGTCGGCCCAGGGGGAGCCGGGGAGCTGGCACCTCCGGTCTGACAGAGGTCCCGTGGCCCCTGGGCCCCACACAGGCACGCGGGCAGGGAAGGGGCTGAAATCTCAGGGGGCAATGGCTTCAGGACGCCGCAGGGGCAGGGCGCCAGGGGCACATGTCTCTGAGAAAGACCCCGGTCCCGGGCTCCTCCTTTTCCCGCCTCCTCGCTCCCCCGCTGTGCATGGCGCCTCCTGGCTGCGGCAGGCCTGCCTGCGTGGCCCGCGCGCTGCACAAACCACCCAGCGCCCAGCACAGGACAAATGGATACCTTGTCTTTCACGATGCTCTCCTGGCACGCGGTGCACTTCGGGCTGGCGGAGCTGGGGAGAGACAAACAGGTCAGCGGAGCCCGCCTCCGAGGTCAGCCTCGCAGCCGCCGGGGCGGGCCGCAGGGAGGGGGCAGACTGTCCAGGTAACGTCACAGGAAGTCAGCACACAGGTCAGCCCATCTAGAAAGCCCCTTCCCGGGACAGTGAAATCTTATTTCAGACGCCAAACAGCCGCGCGGGGCTCCTCTGGGCGTGCGCGGCCTCAGGAGCCACATCCCTCCACGCGCCCGACCCGCGGGGCCTTCCCGGCCGCACGGGCCACGCCTCCCGGCGTCCTGCGGGCCGGCCGGCATCGGGGGAGCGCCGCTGCGCTCGGCTGAGTCAGGGAGAGGGCAGCGCCCGGCGGTGCCCTGCCGCGGCAGAGACACCGTGGAGAAGACACTCGCTCACCCGTCATTTCCGCTGGGACCCAGGCTCTGCCGTGGCCTTGGGACTCGCTGACCGGGCGCCCAGGTCAGTGCTCACACCCGCCCCGCCACGCACACCCTGGCGTCTCCCGGTCAGGGGCATGCCCGGCCCCCCGGCCCCTCCCCTCCCGCACAGAGCACGCCATGATGGCGTCTCCTCCAGGCACTGGGAGCTCCTTGAGCAAGCTCAACTGCACAGTCGGGGGACGCCCGGCAGGGAGGCCAGGGCCAGGGCCACTGAGAAGGTGGCAGGGGAGACACAGTGCGGATGGGGCCGGCGGCCAGGACTGTCACCGGGCCCCCACTCAGGTGAGCTCCCACGGGTCCCTGCGTGGCCCGGCCTTTGGTCCCCGCGGAGCTTGCTCTAGAGAAGCAAGGGCCGGAGCCGCACCCACAGAGCCGGCACCTACCCCAGCAGGCTGGCCATGCAGCTGTCGCAGAAGCGGTGCCCACACTCGGTCTGCTTGGGGTTGCACAGCACCAGCTGGCACTTCTCGCACTTGTACTTGTCCTCCACGGCCCTCACGAACTTCTCCTTGTACCCGCCTTGCTCGGGGACGAGCACCGGGGCGCCGGCGCTGCGGTCCGGGTGCAGCTTCAGCGACGGGTTGGGCTGCAGCGAGCCGGAAGGGTCCATCTTCTTACTCGGCTCCATGGTGCGAGGGCCTCTGCCGGGGAAACACAGCGAGTCAAGAGCTGCCGCGGGGCAGCCCGGAGCAGCAGCCGGCCGGCCGGACAGGGGCCTGCCCGCTGCGCCCGCCCTCTCGCCACCGCTCACAGCTGGCGGCACCGCTGTGTCTCGGAGGCTCTTTAAGCCACAGAGAACCCCTCGCTGGGCTGTCAGCTCCCACTGGAGGCCATTCCGACGCTGGCCAACGGGGGGTGGGGAGGGGGTGGGGGCCGAGGCTGCGGTGGCCGGCAGTGAAGCCCAGCACCTCTGTGCGCTGCCCGCAGGCTCCTGCTGGAGTGCTCGCAGTGCCCCAGCCTGGCACACAGGCCTGGCCTGGCCTCCTGCCGGCCCTGTCCCTCCCAGCGGCCCCGCAGCCTGCCACGTGCTGCCCACTCCTGGGCGCCGCCTGCCCACGGGGAGGAAGGGCACGAGGAAGCTGTCCACACGGAGACGTCCACAACGGCGGCACAGAGACGGGCAGGGCCCGGGGCGGGGGTGGGGCCTCCAGCTGGGCATGGCTTCTAGGGGACAGAAGCCGCAGCGGACGGTGGGTCGCACAGCTCCGCACACTTCGCACTGTCCGAGCCTCCACCCTGAGGCCCCTGGGTGGCGTGTACACGGAGCGGCACACGCTGTAAAGGCGGAGATGTACACGGTCTGGGAGACCAGAGGACGCACGTTAAAGACTAAGACTGAACAGAAACTGCACGTGCCAACACTGAGGGTCTGCAGTGCACTGACACAGCACCGCTCTGCGAGGGTAAAGGGCACCGCAGTGCCTCCCGCGCGGGCCCGTGGGCACAGCAGGCGTGGCCGGTCCCCGTGGCCGGGCTGTGAGATGCGCTGTTGAGACTGTTGACCACAGCACCCACACATGCTGTGTCCGCGGCCCCGGGGCCGGGCAGCCTGGCTAGGACGGGGCGGTTCCCTCTCTCGATGGCTCAGCCTTCCACAAATGCCCCTCTGGCCTCAGGGGGAGGGAGGTGTGCTCAGTGGTTAGAGCGTCAGTCCGCGCATCAAAGGGTCTCGCAGTGACCCTTTGATACCTGGTCAAGGGCATGGACCTGGGGTGCAGGGTTACTTTCCGCCCCTAGTCGGGGTGCATCTGGGAGCTGCTCTCACATCAGTGTGTCTCCCTCCCTCGCTCCCTCTCCCTCCCATTTTCTCTGTGAAAAGCAATGGGAAAAAATTGCCTCAGGTGAAGATTCAAAACAACACAAAGAAACGGAAACGCCCCACAAATGCCCCTCCTCGGCAATTAGGCCAGAAAAATAAAAGGCCTCCAGGTTGGAAAGGAAGGTGTAAAACTATTTCTATTTTCAGAGGACATGACACAGAACATACTGAGGAATAAACCAAAACTAGCTGAACCAACAGCAAAGCTGCAGGTACAAGATCAGTACATGAAAGTCAACTGTATGTACACGCTACCCGTGACACCACCCGTGGAGTCAGGAAAACAGCCCTTAAAGCAGCGTCCGGGGGAATGACGCCTGGGATGGGGGGGGGGGGGGTGCTCACGGACGCGGAGCGCAGTGTCCCTGGCCTCGGCTGTTTTGCAAATATTAGTAAGCGGAACCTAAAACTCCCAGAGAAACACCAGGGACCCAGACGCGGACAAACAGCCCGAGGAGGTGCAGCGCTGAGGACACACACCTCCTGCTTCCGCGCACAGCAGCTCCGCAGGGCGGTGGGCGCTGGCCTGAGGGGACACGGCCAGCGACCAGGACTGAGCCCAGAGGTAACCACAGCCGCGGCCACAGTCCCCGCCAGGCCCGGCCTCGCCTGCTCAGGGCGAAGGCTCCAGCTGGGCTGCTCAGGGCGGCGCCAGTGGGGGCTGGGTCACCACGGGCGCCGGCCCCTCTGCCCAGGCCGTCACCTGGCACAGCGCTCGGACAGGAGTTCTGCCCGGGAGGACAGAGGTGTGAGACCTCCCCTGCTGGTACCCTCGCTTGCCTTTCAAAAAACCTACCGGCTGACCCCTACAGAAGGCCACGTGTGCAGCACATGAAGCATCCGTGAGCCTAGAGCACACGCCCGCGACAGCCCCGCCCCGTGTGCGCCAGCCTCCGCCCCGCTCCCACCTCTCCTGGGACAGACTCACGCCTGTTCCCGCGTGGAATGCTCCGTGACGCGCTCCCTGGCCACACGGTCCCCGGCGTTGCTCTCAGGAACGGTCTGAACATCGGCACGTCCGTGCTGGGCCCGCCCCGGGTCCCCAGGACAGTCTGAGCTCGGGGCCTGCCAGCAGTGCGGGGCCGGCCAGCGCGGCCGCTGTCTGTCAGGCCTGCAGCTGAGGCTCCTCTCCAGGATTAAGGGGAGCAACAGACACCAAACCAAACAGGCGTCTGGTGACAGGCCTGACGTGGCCCAAAAGCCCGGACTCCATCTGCCTCTCACGGCAGCGGCCAGCCCGGCCATGGCCTGGGCGCCCGAGCTCGGGGAGCTGAAGGCGTGCACGGCTGACCAGCCAGCGGGCTAGCAACTCGCATGGCCAGAACCTTCCTGCTGCCAGCGAACGGGGTCCGGGGGCCGTTTTCTCATGATAATTACACGTGTGCTGGCGATCGCTGTCTTTCCTGCTCTGAAATACCGGTTCTGCCTTCCTGTCGTTTGGAATGGGGCTGTTGTGTCTTCCCCACTGACCTGCAGGGTCACTCTATATATACTCTGACGACGAATCCTCTGCTAGTTACCTATTGTCTTCACCGCAGCTGATGGCCTGGCCTCACTGTGTCTTTTAGTGGGCGGCTCTTCATTTTAATGTAGTCACACCTATCCCTGTCTTCAATATTCAGATTAGCTTATGGGTGATGCTGACGGGAAAGGGGCAGCGGTTCCTATGAAGCCAGACAGAGCGTTCTGACGGTTCGGCCGGCGCAGGGCCCGGCATGGACGGCTCTTCTCGGGTGGGAAGCGCGCCTGACGCTGTGGCTGCAGACGCGAAAGAAGCCGCACGGCACGCAGGGCGCCGGCGCTCCGGTGACTCCCCGGCACAGAGACGAGGCTCTCCCCGCACTGCACCGCCGCTGCTGGCGGCAGGCGAGGCTCAGCGGCCAGAGGGCGACGGACCCATCGGTCTAAGCGATGCTGACGCCTGCACAGGGAATTCTCTCAGCGCCTGTGACTTCCTGGGACTTCTCGGGTTTCTACAATTAATATTAAGAGTTTCTACTTCTGACGTTAATAAATTGTTAAACAAAACAAATTAATAAATTGTTAACAAATGGATGCATCTTGAAAAAAGAAAAGAAAGCAGTTCTAATTCTGCCCCAGGCTCATTTTCAAAAGGATGATCTGCTCACATAAACCAGCCACGGAGCCGCCACGTCACACACCCACTGCCCAAGGGAACCATTCCTTCTGAACAGAAGCTCACTGGAGGCAGAAGCGGCAGGAGCAGGGCGGGCAGGCCAGACCGCCTGTGTGGGTGGGTGGGTGCCCCTCGTGGGCCCGCGGCAGCAGGGCAGGCGGGCGGACAGAGGCTCCTGGATTTGCTGAGGACCCCGATCTGCACCCGCACCGACCGTCACGGGAAGCCAGTTCCCACCACGGCGTACGCAGCATGCCCCTCCTGAAACCACGGGGCCGCGGGAGAGGGAGCTCAGGGCGAGCTCACAGTGCGGACACGTCTCCAACACCGAGCGCCTGGGAACCTGGTGCAATACCCCCCGCCCAGATCCAGATCCACGGCTTCACATCCCGTGTGGATTCTCACGGGAACCGGGAGGAGTGACCATCTCAGGAGGCAATGAAAGCCAAGCTTGGGGCAGTGACGTTCTAAGTCCACGCAGAGGGGAAGGAGAGGAAGGCCAGCGGGCAGCCCGGCCTCGGGCGTGGAGCCGAGCGCCGTGGGGACGCGAGGGCCGCCGCCGCAGGCAGCCACGCTCGGCCCTGGGCTGGAGCCGCGCACCTGTGGCAGGGTTACCAAAGCCGCCGTGCTCGCAGGCCCTCGGACGGAAAACCACTCTGGAAAAGGAAGTTCTCGGTTCCTATTATAACTCTCTAAACTCACACACGTTAAGTGCTAAGTGCTTCTGAAATACTGTGATTTCTAATCTGCCGCTAGGCCTGGCCATCCCGCCACGCTGCAGCCCGGCCAGCAGCCCACAGGGCCCCCGTGGAGTCCCATCCGTGCACGGTGAACAGACAGAGTCCAGCTTTGGAGCCCTCTTCCTTTTTGGGGGGTTAATCCCCACAGAGGGTATTTTTCTCCACTGGTTTTAGAGAGGGAGTGGGAGCGGGGGAGAGACAGAGAGAAACATGGATGTGGGAGACTCACGCACTGGTTCCTCCGCCCGTGATCTGACCGAGCGGGGGTGTTGGGGATCAAAGCCTGCAACCCAGGTTGGTTGCCTTAACCCCATGGTCAGCAAACTGTGGCTCTTTGGCCCCTTGAGTGTGGCTCTTCCACAAAATACCACGGCCTGGGCGAGTATTTTTAAGAAGTGGCGTTAGAAGAAGTTTAAAAAATGTGGCTCTCCAAAGAAATTTCAGTCGTTGTCCTGTTGCTATTTGGCTCTGTGGACTGATGAGCTTGCCGACCACTGCCTTAACTGAAATGGAACCTGAGACCTTCCGTCTCTGGGCCGATGCTCTAACCATTGAGCCAAATCGCCTAGGGCCAGATTTCTTGATTTAAATATAAATGTTTTGTTTCACTTGCTTATACATGGATATAAAAACAGTTCCAGTCTGCCGTGCTCCTGAAGCCAGATGTGACTGTCACAGCTAGTGAGATTCTGTGTTTGCACGGCTGTGCTGATGGAAGGAAGCCGTGTAAGCCAGGCAAACGCGTACAGAGGTGGTGGGGAAGCAACGTCTGGGGCCTTCAGCCTGAGGTCTCACAGCGGCCTGGGCAGGCCCGGAGGCTGACACGCCCGAGGCGGCCCTGCCGGAGGTGGCGCCGGGCCGCAGCCCACGCCCCACCCCGTCCCCCTCTGGCCTCAGCGCGGCAGAGGATGCTTGCTGTGTCCACACCCAGA